AAATTTAGATAGCAAATGTGTACAATTGTGAAAATCAAAAATTGGAATTATTAGTTAATAAAACTACATGATGACTTGAGTTGGTAATTAAAATGCTATATAAATAAAAAGTAAGTTTAAACATTTAAAACAAGAGAATCATTTTAAGCCTACAGAAAGATCCTGACATTTCAAGGGGAACTGAAATCTCTGTACAACCACCAACAATTCATGAGAATCACATTTCGTCTTTTCGATTTTTTGAACAAAACCCCTATTCATATTTAAAATTTTCTAACCAATCTTATAAAATCTGAGTATAAATCTTGTATAATTTCATAAATAAGAAAAAAAAATCCCCGAAGCGATGATAGACAATTAATTACAATTAATTTTAAAAATAAATAAAAATAAAAGGTAGTATTCATGCAGAACAATACATAAAAATAAGATTAATTGGAAAAATATATGGAAAAAATGAAATAAAAATCGAGAAGCAAATGAAATGAAAGAAATATACAAATGCAAGTCAAACAAACTGCTGGTTTTTACATATTAACAAAACAGAATCAATTGTAAATTTTACTTACATTTTGCCCTAACGAAAGGTGATTTAAAAATGGCGCGTTCGCAGCAACATGTTTGAAACCGCTAAGGGTTGCCATGATTAAGGTTTGGGAGAGTCCATTTTACCCTTATGTTACTAGCTTCTGTATTGGCATGCAAACTGAGACAGGGTTGGGGGTTGCAATTTTCATGAATTTTCTCACAGTGTGGGATGTATCAGCAAAATAAAATGACAGAAAATCATTATAAAAACTGTTTGATAAGAACAGTAAAAATGAAGAAATGTAGAGTAAAACTGATAATTTTATAATTATCTCCGCTGAAAATCTGTGCAGAAAGAGGGAAATTACATCTAAAAAGGATGGAGGTCAGAATATATGCAGAAATTTTTTTACTGTATAATTAAAAAGTATATAAATCTTTAAACCAACAAGACACTCTTTACCCTCCTGTACGGCTTTCATAAGAAAATAGTTACTAAATTCTGTATATATGTTATTTTCTTCAAGTACTTGTGTAAGTAAAACAATCTCATCTTTTCAGTCGTCAGCTTCTGCACAAATGTTTTTAATTCTGTTAATTTGATTGAGTACTGTGTACCTTATGACTTTCGTAGATATAATGGATTTCCAGCTATTCGTAGATATATTGGATTTCTAGTTAAGAAGTTTAATTGTATTAAAATTAAATTTCGTTTCTTTTATCATTCAGAGGAGATAATTTTTCACTTTATCTTCTGTATTAAATTGAATAGCAGTGATAGCGCATGATTTTACTTTTTAAGTCCTTCTAAAATAAATTTTGAAATTCCTTAAAGTTTTTCTACTTGTATTTCGCTGCAAATTATATATGTGCGTGTGATGGATAAGGAAGGAAGGTAGCTAACTTACTAAGTCACTATTTTGGTAGCCGAGGCTTATTAAAAATTCCTTTAAATACAACATTTCTAACCCGAACATTTCACCTCTGATGGACTTTTTCAGTCACATGCAACAAATTTAAAGACATTGACAAGTATTATCCGCCAGAAATTTAAGTTACGTTCTTCATTGCATTTAAATGAATCAAATTTTTTATTGACTCTAACCCAGGGTTTACCAGAGCAATACTAATTGTTACTATCTGTTTAAAGTATAATCTCAGTTCAGAATTCGATTTTCCTAGCAAGAAAATTATTTCCAGCTTCAGGCTTACCTCAAGAAACACAAAGCGCCAGTTCATCATTCATATTTTCAAGTATCCATAATATCCTGCTCCAAGACCATTCAACCCTAGATCTTATCTGCCTCTAAATCCAGTCTGAAGAAATTTTCAGCCACCACCACTAAGATAACCATATTCCCAATATATCTCATTAATTATCGACGTCCATCTTATCAAAATCAAACATCACCTAAAAATGACAAAATTTTAAGCTAAATATTAAGGTAGGGAGTAATAATTTTCCTGCTATTATCAATACCGGAAGCCAGGTTAATGTAATTTCTGGGAACATTTGTTGCATTGATAATTTTGAAATTCTTGAAACTGAAATTTAAAGTTATTGTTTTTAATCTGTTGGTCTTCCCGTCACTAAATTAAGTTGTTATGTGAAATTGAAAGATTAAGAAGAAATGTTACGTTTTATGCGGGAAATTCTCATTTAAATTATTTATTATTACCCTCATCCTGTGTTTCCTTGTTTAAATTGCACTTGAATTTCGCTGATTATGAGGTGCATCAGTTTAAGAGAAGTTAAAGCAAAGATGTATGCCAAATAATCCTTTTAAGAAAAATATCTTATATTTATGTGAAAATACTCATAACGAAAAGACTATGCCAATCATATTAACTATAATGAGAAAATTCTTGTGTAACTAACCATTTGAAAGAATTACTAAATAATTATGATCATGTATTTGCAAACAGTAAATATGATGTAGCTTGTGTTTTAATATTGAACCTCCTAGAGTAGTATTTTCTTTAGAACTTCCTGTAAACTTATCGATTATGTCGAGCATTTCCCTAAAGATAATGATGAAATAAAAAGCAAATAGATGGATTTATTACATGCAGGTGTTTTTAAAATCAAGCTTGATTTTTTTTTTTTTTTTTAACGCCAAAAGATTTTATGCATTTAAACAATCAGGTGCAAATGCTCAACTAACATATTTATAAACGTTAAGAGTACAATTATTAGAAAATTACATTTTATGAAATGAAATTTAATAACTCTTTATAGTAAAACATTCCATCACGAATTACAGGCGCACAGAAAAGGTATACAGCAGTATTTAATAAGTAGTTAAGAAAAATTATGCTAATTATTTTTATTATGACAACTTATAAAAATATGCTACATCAAATTTCTCTAACATTTCAAAAACATAGCGAGCGCAACCCAGTGCAAGCAGGTAGACCCACTAATACCGAGCGATAAAGTCTCTGAATACAGGCAGTTCGACCCTGGGTTGGATTCCAGGCGAATTGGCTGGCTTCACGAGTGTTTTCGTAGTTTTCCTCGTGTGTAACATGGATATGATTCAGTCTTCCTTAAGAAGTCTCATAGTAGGTGTAGATTGAGTTAGATGTCATAACCAGTTTTTTTCAGAACTGTGAAGCTTGCAAATTTAGTCTTTCGAAAGCGTTTTTTAATGAAAATGAGAAAAGTCATTTTTCTAATTATTATTTGATTTTACTGTATTAACATCACATAACAATGGCATTCTTTTAAACATTAAGTTTTTAAGTGATGTCTTCACTAAGAGACGAGATGAGTAGAAACCTCATGGAAAGGTACGAGTATGTCGATTCAAAAAACATTTGGAGATAACAAGGACTATCTTTACGGTGCTTTTTTTCTTTGAATCATTCCTATACCCACGATAAGCACAATGTCCGATATGTAAAGCTAATCAATCATAGTTTTCCTCAACTTCAGTGCGTTATTGGGCAGCGCAGTTTCTTGAGGATTAACCTATGAGCAGCCATATTTAGACACTATTTTAGCTTCTAGTTTTTCCACACTTCCCAATTCCATCTACGGCATTAAAGGAAAAAGAAAGCAAAGTAATGCATACCCCCAAATCTCAAGGTCAGAGAAAACCATAATCGTTTGCATTACAAGAATTTTTTTTAATGTGTGTTTTGTGTGCTTTATGGTTGCTTGTTGGCCGTGCAGTGTTTAAAAAACGAGAGACCGCTGCGAGTTCTTGCAAAACATTAAATAAACTGACGCATCTTTGCACAACTAATTATTCCTCATGGAACGGTTTGCGTGTTTTCGTTTATGCGCAGATGCATCGCGGGGAAGCAGTGTAGCTAGGCTGTATCGAAGCAAAGGTCGACTAATTTTCTGTTGCTTCATTATTTCAAAAATGTACTTTCGCTAATAATAATCGTTTATTCGCTAATAAGATAAAAAAATCACATATAATTTTATGAACGCTGGGAAATGCATAAAACTTTGGGCTTTAATGGCAAGGTTTTATAAAATTTCATTCTGTAATTAGACTATTAGGCAATGGAATAGTATATATATTTATATTATTTTGAAGTTTTAAAATCAGATTTCTTCATTTTCTTTCACTGTGCTGTAATTCATCTGAAATAAGAATTAAGTTATATATGCTCGCTTTGAAGCAAAGCTCTGTAATAAATAAAATTGTAATGCGTATATTGTGGCCGGTTATTGCTGTGGGTATAGCGTTTAATGTTTTAACCGCATTATCAGATATTTGAATGTGGGCTACGGAGTTGTTTCAGTATTACTCTAACTGACGTCCTTATCACAGCTGTAAGAAGAGCAAATATAACATTTTCAGGGCATCCGTAATTTCTATATCTAAATATTGAGTGATCGAGTACTAGCATTTAATTTTATGCGTATTTTTAGACATCTAAGTCAAATATTCAACATTGGAAATACCTTTGAATGCAGTTAAAAACTGTATAATTGTTAACTGATTGCAGATTACGATGTAGAATTGAAAATGCCTCACCTATAATTAATCAAATGAAGGATCCTACCTATTTTGTACGTTTTGATTCATTGCAAACAAGTATTGAGATGAGCGACTGATCTTTCTCACGTTTCGAAAAAGACTGGATTTAAAGCAGGATAATTAATAATTGTAATTGATCATTAGAAAAAGACCACGGTGAATTTTATTAATAATCTCTTTGAAAGATTTTTTCAATATTTTCTGCTTTTGAAGTAGAACATCCAAGTATTTTGGAGAATACTAACGTACAGTCTGATTTTTCAGTTTCACGTTTCCATCTTCACGGTATTAGACAGCCTCAGGTAACCTACAGTCGTAAGTCTTGTCTGTCGCTCTTCGCCGCCCTTTCCCCCTTTCTGTATCTTCTATGCACGTCATGCAAGGTTGAGATAGGCGTCGACCAATCCATTCCCTTCAATTTATTTTTATTTTTTCTGCCCCCCCTTTTCCTTCCACGCTGAATTGTTAACGTATTACAATAGGCCTTGCTTGCTCGGTCTTGGCTTCCTTCCTCCAACAAACCTGGGAAACAGATGAGCCATGTGGTTCTACCACTGCGTTGCTGTGGATTTACGCGTACCATTGTTGCCGATCATCTTTGTTCGTCCGGTAAGTATATTTATTTTGTTTTTCTGTGATTCTTTTTAATAACGCCGCCAACGGAATTGTCTTATTTGCACGTTATATTATTTCATTATGTTACGGTTACAAAATTGAAATTAATATCACGATTTATGTGTTATAGTCTTAAAACCGCATTTTAGTGAGATGGGCGTGCTCCTTGATTTTTAATGAGATGATCAAATTGATTACCGGTTGCTAAGAGTACTCTGTGTTCATTTATGTCACTGTTGCCACTTGAATTTTAGAAAGGTTTTAATGCATTGTTATGATATTCTGTATTTAATAATTTATGTCGCTCTTATTTTTATCGTAAGCTCAGATTTTTGCCTACATTGCTTTCTTTTTGTTTTGCTTGGGTAAATAGCATTTGTAAAGCAAATAGCGTAAGTCTCTCTTTATAGTACCTGCAAGATGAGTTTATCTGTAGAATTTGTAAAGCAAATAGCATAAGTCTCTCTTTATAGCACCTGCAACATGAGCTCATCTGTTCTGTGTAGCAGAATCTGTTTAAAGTTTTATGTTGTGTAGTAATTATTCAGCTGATAATTAAATGAAAAAAATAAACGAGATGCACTTGACAGATATATCTTAATTTTATTAATGATAGTATTTTGTTTTAATTAGGAAAGTAACATAAAATTGGAGGGTTTACTAAACACGGTTTGTTATTTCCCTCTTCTCTTTAAAACTTAACTATGTTATCTCAGTATATACTTTGATGCTGTTTAAGCGTGAATTAAGAAATGAAGTTACATCCTGTTGCTGTGAGCCTACAACAGTGTACGCATTTCACATATTTTCAACAGAAATTTGTAAGAATTTCATTTTCCGAACGCAGACATTTTATTGTTAGAGGAAAAAATATCAGTAGACCTGTTTAACGAAAATCTATTTGAATTTTTTTTTTTCTGAATTTAAAGCTCTACAAAAATTATAAAGCCACTTTCTTCACAGCGAGGCACTTCAAAACGAAATGGCGCTTGCCAGTGGCGTGTATGGGCCTCGTTTTTGTCAGTTAGGGGTTCAGTTCAGAGGCATTATAAGATACCGGGGTGTCGATTCACGGAATGCGTTAGGGAGGAAAACAAGACTGGGGGTAAGGGGGGTTGAATTGCATCCCGACAACGGTGGAGGCTCTCCACACCAGTTTATGTCCTGCATGCTGCTTCGTAGAACTATGTGGAATTTTTACTTAGCATTCAGTTACTTAACAGCCTGAGGGTCGTCAGCAATTTTTTTTCTGCGATATCGCAGCCTGCCGTTTTAACTCTGTTGTTTCTGAGCGAGTCAATGTACTGTGTGTATGGGTAAGTCGATATTCTTTCTTTTTTCCCATCGCGTGTTCGAGTTTGCTTGGAAATTACGATTTCTGATAAGTTAGAAATAAACAACAGAGTGCACCGTTTTCTAAGCATTCGACATTAAGACCGAAGCAAGTATCTGAAACGAAAGTAATATATCAGCCTTTCTTTTAAAATATGATAGTGACTATCGCCAAAGAATATGGATACATTTTGTCGTAGATTTACGTTTACTTTGTTGCTCTTATCATTTTATCTTGGAAGCCGTCTGAATTTGCTCAGCAGTCGTTTCTTGTTTCACTTCATCGTATGTAACAGTTATTGACCAGTAATGATTGATGTAGGATAGATAACGTGTTATAGTATCGAAAAGTCTATTATGAGGTTAGTATTTCGGTCTTATTTAACTTCTTTATTGTTTCATATGTAATCGTCGAGAATTCCGCGAAAAAATAATCTCATTTTTAAACAGGTATTATGAAGTTGATATCGCGTTTATCAGTATTTCTTAAGGCATGTTTGAGGATTAACATTATCCATTGTTATTAATATGAAAGTTTGGCTTGCTTAAGTTTCGCAACTGAAGTTTCATTTTTAATACAACTGTATTCTACAGTAATCATTTCGAGCTTATGGAAAGGGAAAATTTGCTGTAAGACATGTATAGAAATTTTCTTTAGTTTTGACAATGAAGAGAAAGAGGTTTTAATATTAAAAAATCGGTGTCTTGCTTGCATTTGTGTTTAAATTCATACGATCTTCTACTGTAAATTGGGAATTAAAAGATGTTGCCGGCAGCTATTTATTTATTGCGTAATTTGTGCCTGTTTTCGTTAAAAAACAAAATGTACACCAAATCGGAAAGGAAACCTCGTTTTCCTGAATACAATAATTCAAACATTAAAAGCAGTTAAAAAAAATCTGGGGTGAAAATTACCGCAATTTCTTTCTTAAAGAAATTATAGTTTCAAATGAAAGTTGAAATACGAAACAAAACTGCGAGAGGAACAGCATCCTTTGTAAACTCAATAGGTATCGGCAGAGCAGTGAATTTAGGAAAAGGTACAAATTTTATTCACTTACGAAAAATACATGATTTATTGTGACATAATTAACAAAATCAACGAGTGATAGTAATAAAAAAAAGTGAAGAAACTTGTTATTCTAATTTTAGGTTTGGTTTGTTTTGATTTAATTGATTACGGCAAGGTCTCGAGGGCTATCTGCCTAAGGGGAGAGATGCCTTCATGGAGGACTTTCTAAAGGAAATTGGCTCGTATACACATTACACATAAAAAAAACGCCTATGCAGCCCCAGCCCTTTCGCGGGATTCGAACCTCGGACCGAACTACCAGTGTTCCGCGACTTTACCGCTTTGTGGCTGGTGGGCCCGTTCTATTTTAGGATCTCCGCCAAATGGATGATTCCTAATTGTTGATAGTTTTAAATTACATTAAACGATAGTGGAATAGAGTTGCACCTGTATTGCAGTGATATAGTTATGTTTGTGGTTAAGTTAAAAAATAACGTTTGCGAACGTAAATTTAAACATAATGAGAATTGTTAATTGCTATGAAATTTCTCCAGGAAAATATTTTTGTTTTAGGTAGTACAAAATATTTTAAATAAAAAAATAATGGTATAAAATTCTCGATTAAAATAATAAACTAGTAAGTTATTGTAACTAAGTAGAACATAACTCGCAAAAATTTTGTTTAACTGAATTTTTTTTGTGTAAAACGTTTTTGCTAAGTGGTAGCAAGCAATCTCAAAGAGGGGAGCAGTATTAAAAGTGATTATTATTGTTATGAACTTTTAACTTTTTCTCATCCTATGGATTCTGCCATTGTATGCAAAATAATAATGCGCAAATGCAGAAACGATTAAACAATGGTAGAAACAAAATACTGTAGTTTAAAATAATTTCTTAAACTATAAATGGAAGACACAAGATTAGGGGGGAAATGAAACGATAAACTGAAAACGAGATTGTCTTAATTTTGTTCTTTTTTAAGAAGATGAATGGAATTAAAACAATTTGCCGGGTTCCAGTGTCGAAATACAAAACAACGTTTCTTTCTGAAAGATATAAAGTATTCCTCCCCCCCAAAAAAATTAGAGTAGTGCTTTGTTTGGAATTTTTAGCTCTTCAGCTTGTCGCTTCTTTTTTTCAGATCTTATGTTTTTCATTTTTGTTTTTAAAATTATTTTAAATTACTGTAATTTGTTTTTATCATTTCCAGTATGCGTACTATTTTTATTCCTTTTTTTAAATAAAATAATTTAAATTAGTTTAATCTATATATGCATTATATATACTAATATATATATCATTATATTGAAGACCTGTATATTTAGGAGAGCCGGGCCAAGGGTGAGGCAATCTCAGGTAAATAACTTGAAAGGGCGCAAAATTAGCTGCGAAAATTTAGAAATTCATTTTTAAGAAAGAAAAATATATTTATTAACTTTAAATTTTTGGACACATTAAGAGATAGTGGAAGAATTTTATGTTATAAAACAGTCCACCTGATTGCTGATATCAGTAATTCTCTACTACAGGTCTTAACTGCTCTTAGATACCGTAAGAATGCTACTAAGGTCTGCTAACTGAATATGAACCGCGACGCAAATGTCTACATTTTTAGCAACAGATGTATTGCGTTTAGGCGATACGATGCAAATGTAAGCAATAAGCTTTTACGGAGCTTATTGGAGTATGAGGGAATTATAGGAATATTTTGTTCCTATTTTTGTGTTACATGTGGCTTTGAACAAGACGTAAGGTTTTGTCTTCTTGTATTCAGGGCCCACCAGCGGCTGAGCGGTAAAGTCGCTGAACACTGGTAGTTCGGTCCGAGGTTCGAATCCCGCGAACGGGCTGGCTGCATGGGCGTTTTCGTGGTTTTCCCCATGTGTAACGTGTATACGAGCCAGTTCCCTTAGAAAGTCCTCCACGAAAGGCATCCCTCCCCTTAGGCAGATAGCCCTCGTGTGCTTTGCCATAATTAAATACACCAACACCTTCTTGTATTCATATTTAATCTGCGCGGAAATGTACTATTGATTTCTTTTGCGGGCATATCTGGATTATAGTTACACATATTGCTAGACTGATTATCTGAATAGACACATTAGTCAGCCTTGTTGTCTGAAAAGACTGGAATGTGAACATATAAAGAAAGGCAATATTTATCTCTCTTTTTTTAAGTTATTCTATTGTTTATAATGGAACCATAAAATAAGTTGTTTAGAATGAGTACCAGAGAAATTTTAAGAAAAGGAAAAAGATTTATAATTTTGAATTTTTTATTGACGATTTAAGACAAAGCATTTTGACTACTTCTAATATAACTGATATCGATATAAAAGAATGTGTTTTTAAAAGTTGTTAGTTTCATTCTTTTGATTCTAAAGTAACTGATAGAAAGAATGTATTTAAAAATATTTTTATTCCTAAAGAAATTTTAAAAAATTCTAAAAAAAACTGATGAAAGAGAAAACAGTGAACCATATAAAGCGGTTGATTTAAAGATTAGGAAAAACTGAAATGAAAACATCAAAATGAATAAATTAAGGTTGCATACTTGTTTATTAGTGTGAATGAAAATTAACAGAAGCACCTATAAGATTCGCGAAATTTAACACATTAAAGCCCACAGAGTTAACTGATGAAGCGGAATAAAGTAAAGAGAAAGCCATGAAGCGACGTTAAATCTGAATAACTTAAAAAAAGTGCGTATATGGTAGGGATTTATAACAATAAATTATCCGACAGCCACTCTATTGGTCATATTTAAAATGGAATTTGCTGGCATACTATATTCCGCTGTTCAAATAAATCTTTCTTACAATAAAAATTAATTTAACAGATAAAAGATATGTTTATTTTTAAAGGCGACTTCTTTAATCAGTCAATTACAATAAAGTATATTAAGCTGTTTTCTTTAGGAAGGATGCTTTCGTGGAGAATATACCAAACGAACTGTCTCTTATTCGAGTTACACATGGGAAAATTCCGAAGTTGTACGCAACCAACCCATTTGCCATGAATATTACCAGCTCTGGCTGTCAGTGTTACCAGCTCGGACTCTTGCGAGACCGAATTTTTGCGAAAAAAACTACTAGCAGTGCAAAAACTGAATGAGAATTCCGAAGATTACAAATTGAAACACGACAGGCCACTATATTAGTATCTAAATAATCGTAAATTTTTTAAAGAAAACCTCCTCTTCGATCCTTAATACTCTTCGATTATAAGATTCGTATGGTCATTTCTACAAAATTTTAAAAAGGGATCCCAATTCTCATTAATTTCTCAAAAAGCGTCATCGCTTTCTCTTCGATAATATAATTTCAATAAATCTGTTGCTTGTAAAGAAAGAGCATTACAACTATAGATTGTCGTAAAGACAATTGGGGCGTAAAGACAACGTAAAGACAATTGGAGCGGTAAACGCCCCAATAATTAGTCTTAGGACATGATTTGGTAAGATTTCCAATTTTTCTATTAAGTTTCTTGGAGCTATGATCAAAATCTCACAGCAGCAGCAAAAGACCGATAAAATAAATGCTTTTGCTGTAGTGTTGACCAGGAGCAACCCGCAAAACGCTTTAAAATTTTTAATCTTTTTTCAGTTCTGTCAGCTAAGGATTCTATTTGCAACACCCAGCTCAGTTTATAAAATTTTAAGAGTAGATTTCTATACAAAATTCGCTTTAAGCCCACCTCAGATAACCCACACAAAGTGATCAAAAACCTACCGGGCATTTTTGTAATAATTGTGCTAAAGAATAAATTTAAAATGTCTTGATTTTAATCAGCAACCCCATGCCCTTGAAGGAGCTTTCAGTCAAAACTGGAATTAAAGTTAAAAGGAACCTAAATTAAATAATCCAGTTCCTGTTTCTTCATCAGTTTTATGAAGGATTCGGAAAAGTTTTCTTCGATATAGACAAACTTTCCGTTCTACTAAGCATCAATCTTTAGAGCGTACTTTTTATATTTATTTTAATTTAGAGTTATTTCAGTTAGCCTTGTCTTAAAACTGAAAGTTATAAAGTGTTCGAGTGTTAATTCATCATTCTGTCGTCGAAAAACACATCATTTAGAATGACAAAATAAGAAAATAAAGATGAATTCTTAAAGGAGATAGTGATGACCTGTTTGATTCTGAAGTACGCCATAAATTCAAAAAGCGGTTTATTTATTGTAAGTCTGAGAAATCAAGTGGTAATTTTGATGATAGTAGTATTTATTATGTCATCATTAATGAATAACTGCAGCTGTTCTAATGTAATAATTTGAGTTAAGTACTATTCCTTAGAACTATCTCTTGACATTCCATTCATTAAAAGTTTTTGTATAAACATTATTGGGGGGGGGCAGGAATTTTTTTTTTCCCGAAACTTTCCTAGTATTTGCTTCTAATTCATTTTGTGTATTTAGTGTCTCGAGAAGATCTTGTGCCTAGGGTCCCTGACTACCTTTTTCTGGCCGATTATTTTACTGATTGCTTAATTTTATATTCAAAACCAATGATTGGCAATTAAATGGGACTAAAATAATATTAAATGGTTTTATTCGAAATGGATTGGTAACAACTTTTTACCATATAATAGCCTTTTTGAAATATTTATGTATTAACACTATGAAGGAAGGTAAATCATATTGTTTTAATAATATTTCGTACGAATGATCAGAGGATTGTTTTCAACGCTGAAATGTATTTCATATTTAACTAGAGTGTGTTAAGGAATAGTATCGATTTTTATTTATTTTTATTTATTTATTTTAATTCTCAAAGGCCCTCATTTTAGCTGTAATTTGAAGTAATGATTGTTCGGCTTTACATCCTACATGACCTTATTTTATAATGCTCCATGGCAGACTTATGAGAATCACATTTGCATTAGAGTACTGCCGAATGGAATTTTAATTGATTGACAACTCTTTAACGCTCTCACCCTGGAGTTGTGATTGGCGAAAGCTACGGAAGACGAACAGGACGTTCCTTCCTGTGCTGCTCTATCGTTCGATTTGGGAGATCCGTAACAAGGCGCTTCATTTGGGGCAGCCATTGGTCGTAATATCATAAAAGAGTGGCGTAACGTTTGCGCGACCTAAATCGATGTAGCGAAAAACCGGTGTCCTCTGTGTATGTATGAGTGTGTTAAAGTGCGAGGATAAAGCTACTGTTGGGAGAATCGGTTTGTGAGAAGGAAGCGGAGAGGAGTCATCTTTCTCTCTCTCTCCATCACAGATGGAGAACGTTAAGGATGGAGAAGACGTGGCGATCTTTTAAAGGAATATTCATATTGATTGTGAGTCAGCGCTCAGAATTTCTAGGAAAGGCTAATCCTGCATGAAGCATGAGCTGTCACGTGCAGCGTGACCAGTTGCTAGAATGGAGTCATTTTAAGCGTGAAGGTTTCTGTGCTTAGATGGTGATGCAGTTAGTTTTTGAAACAGTTGCATCACTTTTAGAAGGATGGTAGTGTAGGATTCTGAGTGAATGACCTTTTATACGATTTCTTAATTTCAAACTAGTTTCTTAGCATGAAACATTCCTTACTTTCCTCCTTCCTTTCTTTTTTTAATATGGAATAATTAATATCAAGTATATTTTCTATTAAACAAATTTTCTGTGTTTGTTTTACCTTTCTTAGGCGTAAAATTTTCAAAATGTTTATTTCGTTTTGTATGTAGCTCTTTTAAAATTTTTCATCCTATTTTTTTTTTCCTTTCAGAAGTTGTTCTGGAGGAATGCACATATGAGAGCCTGATGCTTTTACATATGCAAAGGGATACGTTTTCTGCCTATTTATGTATTATAGCTACTCCAGTTTCAAAAAGAAGCACTGCGCTGGTAAGAAGAAAGATTTTTTTCCTCAATTTAATTGATAACGAGTTTGATATTTAGATATTATAATGCCTGATACTTTCAATATACTCAGTAATTTAAGAATATTTCAGTTTGAATATTATTCACTGAAAAGTTATGTGGTTTCATTTCTATGTTTTGGGAAAATGTGCTTTGATTCTGTGTTTGTAAACTGCAGCATACAGGCTCTGTTGAAGAAATGGCTTTAGCATGTAGTATACTGTATATTCAAATGTAATATTTTTCAGTAAAGGGGGTGCAGCGATTGCCGTTTGAGATGGCCTTGCCAAAACTGAGGTTTTGTACCAGAATGCTCATAGAATCGTTAAAATCGTGACTATTGTGCATAAATACGCATGTTTAAACTTGACCGATTTATTTAATAAACAGGATGAACATTTTACTCAGTGAGGCATAATTAATTTTATTTCTTGTTCTAATTCATTATGGTTAAAACAGAAACAAATGATTTGATTGATAAAAGTTATGTAAAAAGTCGTATTAACAGCCTCATCCTCATAAAATAAACATGTAAAAACACGTTCTTGAAATCCCCACAGCCTCTTTTTGACCTGACGCTCCTACTTGGGTGGGTATCTTAAGTGTTTTGGCATATTGCCAAAAAGTGTCGCGCTATCTGTGGTCGATCAGGTCAGAAAGCGCAATATTACCGATTATGCCCGAGGCACAAAGCCAAAGAGAAATTTAGTGCCAAATATTTACAAGGGGAAACTTTTAACTAGCTTTCTCTCATTTGCACTAAACCAAAGGAAGGAGTTAATTTCCGTTACTTTTGCTCGAATGAGGAACGGAAAATAGTTTTTTTTAGAAATGTATCCAGTATTATAATAGAAAGAGGGGGCGGAATGTTGAACAAAAGCAGTACTTAAGAGAACTTAATGCTTGCTTGAGTTGCCTAGAAATATAAGGGGGAACTCTTGCCTAATTTATAATTCCAATGGTTAACGTGAAAATTTTAGTCTTTGCAGATTAAACTAATCATTTTCATTATGCATTCTTCTGTGTGCATAAATGTAAATAATTCTTTCATTCCTGTTATTTAGGTTTCTTTCTTTCTTTCTTTCTTTTTTTTTTTTTTTTAATCTTAAAAACAATGTTCTTTATTTTGCATAAGTAAAAATGAGCGTGGCAAAAAATAAGGATTTACTTTATGAATTGAAATTGAAGATTTTATTTGCTGTGAATCATCATTAACACGTATTGCAGGTGTTGTTGTCTTGTCCACATGCCCTTACATGGAACAATGGTTGTCACAGCCTACTCCGAAGAGAGATTGGAGTTCTATTTTCCACCCCCCAATTTTGAGGGGGAGTCCGGGGGGTCTCCCACACGCGAGGACTTTCGGCTCGCCGCATATTTAGAGTGCCACCATGCCGACACTATACATAAGCATCCATGTCTTCAACGGGATTCGAACCCGAGCCCTTCGGTGCCGTAGTAGGCTCCCCTAAAGACTATTATTGCAGGTGTAATGTTAGCGACGGAAAAGCAGTAATCTCGATTTTTAAATACATTTTTCAAGAAAATGCATTATGGAATAGTTTGCATTTCGTAATCTGAAGTGTTAACGTTTTCTCAATGTGAACTCAATCAGATAACCTAAAAAAATTTTGCTTTTAAATTATTTAAGTAGAAAACTGATATTTATGTTGCTAGAAGGAGTAATTTTAAAGCTTTTAAAGTGGCTAAGTGTGTTACATTCCTTAAATTTAAGGGCCCTTAATATTTTTTAAAACTATTTTTGATCCCTAAATGTCTTAATTTCGGCCAAAATCGGCAAAATTCACTTAATTTTACTTATCTGATATTTCCGTTTTTTTTTTCCGACTGCCATTTTGAGTTTGAATTAATTCATTTTAATTATGCAGAAATATTTTTTAACCATGCATTTACAAATATGTATTTGTTGGCTCCGGTTTTAGGCATGGGGAGCAGCCTCGATTGAAACCTAAACATTTCAAAATTATATCCTTTTCGCGAGAGAAGTTTATAAAAAATAATTTTTTTTTTTTTTTTGAAATACAGGTCCTTTTGTTATACGACGTCAAATTTGCCAACTTATCACCATTTTGGCGATTTTGAGATGAGTTTGTGTACAAAACTTTATAGTGCGAGATCTGGGAATTTTTAGGGCCCCCCCTTTTTTTTTTAAAATATGACAACATTTATAAGTATGGTAAAAATAATAATATATTAAAATTATATTTCAAAATGATGTTAAAATAAAACATTTTTATTTTCTCTTGCCCTATTTTAAAATGACATTACTTCCCATTTTTGTGACTTTGGGATATTTTGATTCTGAAAAATATGCAAAATAATAAATGCTATAAATGTAAAGCACAGTATCTGAAAGACATTTTAGAATAAAACAAAAAAGCTACTTTTATTATTTTACAATTAATTTTATTTGTCATCTTTTATATTTTTTCATGATAGGAGTTTTTCTCCCATGTAATTCTGTCAGAATATTTAATTATGTATCAGTTTTCTATTGAGAATTCCTTTACACTTTTCTGAACTCCTTCACCTTGGAAAAGCGTATACCTTTTTGTTCTTGAGGTTGGTAAGGATTTTATACCAAGCATTTCAGAGGATTTAGAAGGATTTAAAGACCTACAAAACATGTGTGTCCTTAATTTTTTTTCTCTTTCTACTAGACACAAGCATTCAAGCAAGCCAACAAATTAAAAACCAATAGATTTTTAAGATTTATCTTAGTGTCCCAGTGCATTATACACACCTCAGTACCTGCCCTAAATTCTGCCACCCTGACCTTATATCATTTCATATTTATTCTAAAGACTCATATCATTAAAGAAATAAAACTTTTTCTTCTATACATTCTAAGTACAAGCAGTTCTTTAGAAAAACATATCTTTAGTTAAATCTGAAAATTCTAAAATGAAGAGGAAACTTGTTGGGAAAAAATTGATTTTATAAGAGAGGAAATTATTCATCAGAGATACACTGTTGAAACATTAACAAATTAGGAGATGAAGCACAGACGATTGGCAACATACATTTATTTTATTAAACAAGTAAACTTCGAGAAGGAAGCTGTAAACTAAAATATATGGAAACTTTTTAAATTAAAAAGGCAAACAAATATTACTTAATTATACTAATATAATTTTAGAATCAATATCATAAATTATAATTGCTGTAAAATGTTACTTAGGGATTTTTAATGGATATATTTTAAATTAAAAAAAGATATTGTAACCATTTTATTCTATTATGTTTAAGGACATCTAACTACATAATTTAATTATTTGTAACTAACTGCTTACCCTTAAGAGCTATCTCTGCATGTTAAGATGAATTATCACATTTCCTTAATCTTTACTGTGGGTTAAAATTCAACACAGGAATGTAAAAATTAATATGAAATCTTTATTCCTTACAAATAATGAGACTTAATGCAAATCAACCTATCACCTCTGGTCCTTCAGTGGCTTATTGGAACTTTATATTAAATAATGTATATTAACTAGATTACTACTCCAGCAAATCTACACGAAGCTATGACACTTAACTGTGTAGCTAGCTTTCAATACTTACCAACCATCAACATCAAACATTCACGTCTGTTCTGATTAGTGGCTTTCTGTATCTAAGTAAGCAGCAGCCAAGCTTCTTTTATGAGTTATGCTGATTATTATTTTACTTCTCAATTTAATTTATGTGAGACAAAATTTGCATAAACCTTTGGAGTGAGTACATGATGAAATGAGGCATAAAAGAACCAATCCAAAGGAAGCTATCTGTTAGTAAAATTTAAATAAAAATGTCATTAATCTTGCAACCTTTTTTTACATTGTCATGAAATTTTTCTATGTAGCCATTGGGTAATTCTGTTACATAATATTTAACTTTTATTCCATGAATGATACCGAAATGTGTATAATTAAAGTAGCACATATTCTCTTTTTATGATGTACAATTTTATTTTTTCCTTCAGGATTTGCTCTGAAAAGAAGAGAAGTGTGAAGCATTTTTTCTGCTTGTTTTTAACAAAGCTGCCACAATTCCTTTTGTCAGTACGTGGTCTGCACATATGGACAAAAAGAAGCCGGTCAAACGGCCTCGTATGGATGCAACACCCAGTGAGTGTCTGTTTTTAGTCAGAAAATTACTACTACTGCTCATTCAGTTTGAAAGCTATGTAAATAAAGAGGTGAGAATGTGCAGAAAGCATTGGAACAAGAGAAGTTTTGTCCAGAGCATCATCCAAGATATGTGAAAATTTAAATTTAAAATGGCAACATAGCCTCTTATGGAATATGGTGGTTTAAAAGATATCATAGTTTTCTCTTTCCTATATTATCTCTTATCAGAGATTCAGTGAAAGTAATGTTCGTCCAATGTTTGTTTTGTTTTTATCATTAATATTGCAACATGCATGACTGATTATGTTTGGTTTTTTATAAATTTTTGTACAAGATGCAATTACTCAACTAGTAACCCCATCCTATTAAATTTTTAAACTTCTAACTATAAACATTTGCTTAAGTAAGTATTTATCATGATTTGATTTTAAATTAATTGAAGTATTCTGAATTGTGGTACATTCCATAAATAATATTAATACTGAAATATATTCCTGCATTGTATATGTGATAAAATACCAGTATTCATCTGTTTTCTTTTCTGTGTTATAAGTTTCTTCAAAATAATAAATAACCTAAAAATGCACTTATTGTTTTGGAAGCTAACAAACAGTCCTTTAGTTTCTATAGTTTTTTTACTGTAATTGTGTTTAAATATTATGATATTGCTTTAAATCAAAAAATTTGCAGTTCATGAATTGCTTTTTACTTTTATAATTACTAATGCAAATATAGTAGTTTGTGTGTATTTTATTTTTATAAATGTACAATGCATTTGAAGCCAAATTTTATTCCCTTCCTCCCTCTTCAAAGAAACAGGTATAATGTTTACTAATTTGTTTCACCTTCTAACATTTAAGAAAGATTTTATAGAGCAAGTTTAAATGATATATTTTAATTTAGAACCCTATTGGTTTTAAAGATTTGGGCTTATGTTTTAGTAACTTCAGGATTCATTACTTTTCATGATACACAAATTTATTTTATGCTATCTCAGATTTAATTATAAGAAGTATGAAGTGCAAGCATGAGCTCAATATCTGAAAAGTTGGTAGATGAATTCTTTATACTTGTCAACCACGCAAATTCAAAATTAATTAAAAAAGTTATTGAAATATATATCCAAAAAATTGATTTATATAAAAATAAAAAAATTTGCAGAGATTTACATACCATGTTTCCTATAAAAAGAATGTATATATAGACAAGAAATGCTAAATAATTTCAATAATTTTTAAAAATCCTCTTCAGTCAAAATGTGTTTCAGGTACAAGATGTATTTGTTCTAAGTTTATTTGCATATTTATATAAGAAAAATTGTATTAAATTTACTATAATAAATTTCATTTCTTTACATCCAAATATGAGCACAGATTACTGGAATTCTACTGTAGTCACATTACATGCTGTTTTGTTCAAGTCACAGTTAGTGAGTATTTGATCATTCTTGTTTTTGGTACAAATTTCAGTTTCTGTTTACAGACATACTTTCTGTAATGATGAAGATAACTCAAGCTTTTTTTGGGGATTGGAGCTCAATCATTACATTTTTTTTTTTGTCAGTACATTTAAAATTTCTCTTTAACTGTCTCTCAATTAGTGTAACAATTTTATCCAGCCCTTAATCATGCTTCCAGTTTATTTAGAAGGATATGAATAAAAAAATGATGTTATTTGGAAAAATGAAAAAAAAAAAAATAATAAACTACCAAATAACCAAAGTAACATGAAAAAATGTTATTTGGAATTAGATTCAAATAAGTCACCTATGTAAATGTTTTAAATGTGATTATTTTCTTTGGTATTATAATTAAAAAAGACCATGCATATTTAGTCTAATGTGCATAAGTACAATCCTACTTAAGAGTGCATTTAATTTAACATTTTATTCAGAAACATTATATGCTTGTTTGTAAACTTTGATGTTAGAATTTGTAACATGTTTATTCTTTTCAAATATTTTTCTAGTGGAAAAAAAAATTGTAAGGATTGTTATCATTAGTTTAAGTTTTTAATATTTTGATTTATTTTTATCATTGTTAATAATTTATGTTTCTGTAACTATTTAATTAGAATAGCTGTACGTGCATGTATGTTTATGACTTCAAAAAACCATTTTTTAACAAATCTTATATGGCTGAAAGTTCTGAGTTTAAAATCGCTATTTATCTTTATTTACTTGCTTGATTTTTTTTTCCCCTCTGTAAAATGAGTTTAATGCATTAACTGTCCATATGAGAAGAATTTCATGTAATACTGTTGTATTCGTATAGCTGAGTAAAAGCACTTTAAATTCTTCAATTTATTAATTAAAAATTCATTCATTTGTATTCTATAAGTGCAGTCATATGGTTTATCTGTAAACATGTGATTAAATGACAGTTTAAACATCTGGAGAATTTGGAAAGAAATTTAAAGTAAATTTGTAATATAAATGAGATGTAAAAGTAATTGAAATTCTTAAGTAGTATTGTGCTCCATCTCCTATGCTACCATTTAGCTAGAAAATGGTATTATGATAGTTTTAGCAACAACCTTACTGAAATGTTTAGTTTGTATATAAATTCTGGTTCTTAAAAAAATTATCATACCTTTCCATTATTAAGAAGCAAAGTACGTATTAAGTCATTGGAGAAAAAAAATTTGAATCAATAATTAACATCACATCCCTGAGTATTTAGAATGTATGCTTGTGAAGGTTCACATTGAAGAATTGTGAAGGTTCACTTTTATTTTTTTAACATTTTGTTTTCAAATACTTCAATCTCTGCTGTAGCAATAAGTATGCAAAAGTTAAAATGTTAAATGTTTTCCTTCAGATATTCTGTTATAAAATTATTTTTTGTATTTACAGATTGGGCTATATCATAATTATTTTTAATATAGGTACTTTGATGAGTTTTTAAAGAAATGTATTTTTTCATCCCGCTGTTTAATGTTCTACGTGTGTAATATTAAAAACAGTGCATGGTTGTGTGTTTGATATAATAAATATTTAAGTTATAAACTAGATAATAAATTTACATATTTTTTCAGTTAAATGAATGAGTATTCAAATAGAAGTTAGGAATTTTTGCAATTGTAATGATTGTTCCATAGCATGAAACATAGCAGGATTAAATTTTGAGAACTTTGACATATTTGTAGTAAATTTTTCAGGTTAAGTGTTTGATGTGTACACTGAAGTGACAAAAGTCATGGGATAGCAATATGCAAATATATAGATGGCAGTAGTAGCACGTAGAAAATGTATAAATGCGAAGTGCTTTGGAAGGGCTTTCATTTGTGTTGAAGTTATTCATGTGAAGAGGCTTTAACGTGATTATGGCTGCACGACGAGAATTAACAGTCTTTGAATGCGGAATGGTAGTTGAAGCTAGACGCATGGGTCATTCCATTTTGGATATCGTTAGGGAATTCACATCCCGAGATCCACAGTATCAAGAGTGTGCCGAGAGTATCTAATTTCAGGCATAACATCCCACCATGGGCAGTGCAGTGCCCGACCACCTGCACTTAACGACCAAGACCAGCGACGTCTGCGTAGAGTTGTCAATGTTCACAGACAAGCAACAGTGCATCAAATAACCGCAGAAATCAATGAGGGACGCGTCCGATAGGACAGTGCGGTGAAATTTGTCTCCTTGTCTATGCCAGCAGAAGACCGACTCGAGTGCCTTTACTGACAGCACGACATCGCCTGCAGCGACTCTCGTGGGCTCGTGAGCATATTGGTTGGTCCCTAAACGAATGGAAAACCGTGGGTTGGTCAGATTAGTCACGATTTCAGTTGGTAAGAGCTGATGGTAAGGTTTGAGTGTGGCGCAGGTCCCACGAACCCATGGACCCAAGTTGTTAACAAGGCACTGTTCAAGCTGGTGATGGTTCCATAATAGTCTGGGCTGTTTTTACATGGCATGGACTCGGTCCTTTGGTGCAACTGAACCGATCATTGACTGGAAATGGCTACTTGGAGTAGCCATTTTCATTACTTCAGCTACTTGGAGATCACTTACAGCCATTCATAGACTTCATGTACTCAAGCAACGATGGGATTTTTATGGATGACAGTGCACCATGTCATCGGGCCACAATTGTTCTTGATTGGTTAGAATAACATTCTGGACAATTCCAGTGAATGATCTGGCCACCTAGATCGTCCGACATGAATCCCATCGAACATTTATGGGACATCATTGAGAGGTCAGTTCGTGCCTAAAACCCTGCACCGTCAACACTTTCACAGTTATGAATGTCTATAGAGGCAGCATGGCTCAATATTCCTGCAGGGGACTTCCAACGACTTGTTGAGTCCATGCCACGTCAAGTAGCTGCACTTCGCTGGGCAAAAGGAGGACCGACAAAATATTAGGACATATCCCATGATTCTTGTCACTTCAATGTATATGTTGATCAAATGAAACCCATTTGCATATATTTACAATAGTAGCAGCAACTACACCTTGTGTATTATGTACAGACATCCATGATGAGTGTTTCACAGATTTTACAGTGGGAGTGAACATAGGTGAACCAAACATGTGTCCCATGGTGTTTCCAGTTTACATATAAAATTACGAAGGTTGGCTTTCAACTGTTAACAGATGATGGCCTTCAAATAACAGCTTTAACACTCCAACTTCTGTACCTTCTTCAGCATCCTGAGAACCTGCTATGCAGGCACTTTAGTTATACCTTGGATCTTTTACATTCTTCTCTGCACTCCCAAGCCTCAAGTTGAATTGATAAACGATGGATGAAATTTTGAGACATCCAAAGGAATAGCCACTTTTGCCATTGCACAGTTCTCTCTGTGGCAAAAATCATGGGCTTGATCAGGCTAGGAATAATCACTTGTTTGTTCAGATTATTAAACTTGTCCAACCAACCACTTCTTTTTCGAATGTTTGTGTCACCATATGCTCCCATCATCTAATGAAACACTTCAGTTGGTTGACGTCCTTGAGCTCTAAGGAAATTTATTACAGTATGATTTTGTTTGCATGAGTTGTATATTCAAAACTCCCTCTTTCAATGGCTATTCCTAAAAATAATCATCATTAATACATGATTTATGCTATACATGAACAAGAGCATATGTCATATTTAAAAATCTTAATATGAAAATATCTGTGCTTTCAAAGCATTTTTTATGGAATGGAATTTTTATTTTGACCATGTTTGTGCTGTTATAGTCAATGATTATGACTATAAATTTATTTTTAAAAAATGAAACTTTATAAATTTAGTTGGTGCTCGTGCTCCCACCATTCCAAACGGACCTATGCATACTCGACCATTAGTGGCTCTTTTGGATGGCAGAGACTGCTCCGTAGAAATGCCAATACTCAAAGATGTGGCAACAGTAGCTTTCTGTGATGCACAGTCGACACAAGAAATCCATGAAAAAGTAAGGAGAGCAATTCATATACATGTATCTAGTTTTATGTGTATGTTTTTTATCGCTATGATTATGTACTTTATTAAAAAACTCATAATGCTGTTAACATTCTTTATTTGAATTTTTAAATCTTTTGTTAGTAGTATATTTAAATGAGAAAGTAACAATAAAGCTATGTGTCTGCAATCGCTGTCACGTAAGTTGCCAAATAAGAGCTTTATTCCTGATTAATTTTGCAGAGGCACAGAGTTACTCATCAAAATATGTAAAAGTGTACCGTGATACAAGGATGTCATACCAAAAAAATTTTTTAAAGTTTTTTTTTTTAAAGTTGCCAGAAATCCTTGGATTTACCTGTGTACCTCTCTGGAATCTTCCAGTTTGGAATTACTTCTGTTTTTTTCCTCTAAAGTGTATGTTCACGAGTGTCAGGTTAAAATTTTCCCAGTTGTAGCTTAAGTAGAAGATGGTTTCTTTATATACTGATCTCTTACTATTCAAAGAAAACTAGGATTTTTCTAATTTACATCTCTGAAAATTGCATTGTTTCAAAGTAAATCCTTCTCACATGATCCTTGTATCACAACTAATTACACAGGTTGTAAACTATAATCAGAAAATTATAAAAAAAACCCCAAAAAAAGGACTTAATTAAAAGAAAATTAATCTATTAAGGTGAAAAGTTTTGGATGGAACATTAGCATTATTTGTGACTGGGTGTTAATACAAAACTTTATCCAAATAGATACTGAGCCTAATATGCCAAAAAATCATTATGATGATACTCAGTTACTCAGTACTGCAATAAATTGGGCAATTTCTATGCACAATGAATGTTCATAACTCATCATCTGCTCAATCAAAAACAAATATTTAAGTGCACATCTCTGTTAGGTTTTATAAATTTTCTATGTTAGTCATATCTATTAAGATTTAGCATTTTTCATGGAAGATTCTTGAGCATTCACAAAGAGAAAAAATAAGAAATTTTTTACTACAATTGACATAATTAAACTGGATAACTTATGCCTTTTTTTTTACATTTGATTGTATATATAATGTATGTGTATATTTAAATAGTTTTCAGTCATTAGATATGACAGATAGTTTGATTAATATTAAATTTCAGTCAATTGCAAATGTACAGGCATATTTGCAATGATATATGTGTAGCAGTTTGAGAATACACATAGAAATTGTTCATGTTCCCCCCCCCCTTATGATGGAAAACTGTTTTAGAAATTACTATCATTAAATGTAAAATAACTTGCAAGAAATTTACACTGTCTTAAACATTTATGACGATTTTATTTCCATTAACTATAAGTTTATTTGATAGGTTCTAAATGAAGCAGTTGGAGCTTTAATGTGGCATACAATAACATTAACAAAGGAAGACTTGGACAAATTTAAAGCACTGAGAATCATAGTTCGTATAGGCTCAGGAGTTGACAATATAGATATAAAAGCGGCTGGAGAGTTAGGTAAGACCTTCCATTACCAGGCTGGCTATATTTAAGCTTTCAACAAATAAAATGATTAGTTGATAATAATTCGAAAATGTTACCAAAATCTGTGTTTTTTGTCACAAATTTGACATAGATCACATATATATAAGAAAATGCTATTGTACTGTCTTTCTGTTTGCTTATGTAGGTCACATAAAACAATTTATCATTGTAATATCAGCCTTACATACAAAAGCAAAATGTCTTATTTCGTTTTAAAATTGAAATACCGGTGTTTGCAATTCTTAGTTGAATTTTTCTGCTTCATCTATACTGTTACAAAATAAAGAACAGAAAATTGATAGTTGTACAGCATGTCTTAAGGCCGGTTTATACTTATCCGAGTGACTTTCGGCGAGCCCCTGATTCGAGCATCTCGAACAGAGTGAACAACTCTATAATCTGCTGGACTGTTTACACCAATCAGAGCTGGACTGACACCTCACCTCTGTTTGTTTGCAAAATGGATACTGACGGACAAGTTTGTAGTACTTGATTTTTGCGAAGCAGTTTCAAATGAATTAATTTCTGTTCTAGTGGGAGGGAAGAAGAAGAAAAGGAAATCAAAAATGTGACTGGGTAGCTCGCTGTCATGAATTGGGAGCATTAAATCAAATTTTGAATGAAACTTCGGGGCGAGGATATTCAAAGTTACAAAAACATAATCAGAATAGGTGAAGGATAATTTGAAACTTTATTGGAAATGGTCACTCCAATTATTCAGAAGGAAAATTAGTTCTTTCGAGTGCTAAAATGCACAGTCACCATATTTATTCCAGAAGTGTTTGAGACCATTTTCAGTGTATGAGGTTGAGTGAAAATTATTAATCTTTTGTTTGAACTCTCTAACACTTTCAAATTTTAACATATTAATAATAGCCTCATGCACCTCCTGTCGGCGATTTTTATTTTAATACTTCCGACTGATCGTTGTGCAAATAAAAAAGTCTATAAACAAAATTTTAGATTATATTTTATTAGGTGTAATTGGCGATGAGTAAAATCTGGTTTTTACTCAAAAAATTTATATCAACAAAATCAAATGTTTGCTCTTTCATTTAGTTTTTTAATTGAATTTCTTTATTTAATTTTATAGAAGACAACTTTTGGTGATGGCAGTTGTCAGTTTGCAGAATGAGTTTATTCTATTTGAAGTACTTGTTCTTGAGACCAATTAAAGAAAAACACTGAAGTACATTATGTCAGTTTATTAGTTGTGCTATCTTGTTAGAATTAAAAATTAATCACAGACTCTGTGTGGGTTACATTGTTATACAGCAAAAAACAGGCTTTGGGAGAGTGACTTATTTTACATGCAATTTTACTTGTAACTGAATAATATATTTTCACTTCAGAAGACAGATCTATAAAGGGAGAAAACTATAAAAGACTTACATATAGAAATACTTAAAAGTATTTAAAAAAATCAAATAAGTTGTTTTCTATGTGTGAAATATATGCAATAACTTTTGTATACTGTAGCTATCTCAAACTGGGGCAGTGTCAAGAAAATTATTTACAACAGAAAATATGTAATAAAATAATAAGCTACTTTTAAATCTCGCATATTTTACATGTCATCCAAAAGTACAGTCAGCTAATGAAGCATTCTCCATTCATTCATGATTCAATAATAATATTGTAGTTAGAATATATTAACTGCAGTTGAAATTTTAAATATTGTGCAGAACATTTCATATCTATTGTGGTGGTTCAAGATCTAGGGGCTGAATGAAAGTTTGCTTGGGGTGCAAAATTAGAGGGCACAGGAAGATCTGAACAAAACAAACCAATGCATCTCAACAAAACTGACTGTGACCTTGTAAAGATTTCTCAAAGGTCAGTAACTGGTTCCCTTTCTTTTCATAACAGACTATTCTTGCCCATTTGCTGAAGCATCGCGGGTGTAGCTTAATGTGTGTTTACAAGATATGGGCCATATGCCAGTCTTTTTACCTGTGAAGAGTAATCCCTTTCTTTAGGCTGCCATAATTAAAATAAACCAAACCAAAATGCAGTATGCATACAAATCTTGGAAGGGCACTGATTTAAGACTAGAAACAGCTACAAAAGCACAGATCTATATGTTTCTGCTATATGTTACCCTATTTTCCTCTTTCTGTGTCTAGACAGAAATATGTAAACATGTTTTCTTCACTCTATGTGAAGATCTATCACATAAGAGATTACTGTGTCACAGTTGCCAGCTCTGCAAGTTCTCTGTCACATCTGTTCTGATAGATGACAGTTTTTACTGAGGAAAATGTTTCCCAGAAACAAATGAAATTTTAATTGCATAATCTTTTTAATGCAAGTTTATTGATAAATAGTATCACATTTTCAATGGACATTATAATGACAGTTATATGGTTCTTTAAGATTGATGTTCTTTTTATTCATTAAATTCAGAGGCAGTTTAACAGTAAATTTGCTGTGAATTCCAGCTTTTCTGAAAAGTTCAGTAACTTCATGGTTAATTTTTCTCCATATTGTTTCAGGTCTAAACATGCTCTCTGGAAGGTTTTGCACTATCAGATTAGATTGAAGAGTGCTCCCTAAGACAACTGGGTGTAAAGATTAATATTTTGTTAAAACATGTTTGTTAGTATTGGAAAATTCATTTTAGTATTAATTGCTTTCTTCCACTGTGCTTAAGGTCATTTTACTTGTTTCTCATGAGCAACAAAGTGCCATTGAGCACTAACAGTTTCATGCAAGTTCTGAGAGCAGCAGGCTAACTGTAGGGGAATTTTCATTGCTTTCTGAAAGAATGCAACATAAAAATGAGCAACTCAAACTGGTGCAAATTATTACCCACCACATTTTAGGTCAGGTATCACTTGCAGAACTTTTTAATTTAAAGAGCAGAAAATGTAAAAATGCAGTTTCTGGGATTCAAACTCCAAACCTTCACGTTGCTAGCTGGGCATGCTTCCAATTGCACTGTGAAAGCATTTGGTAAAGAACAACTGGATTTTCTTACAAATGTGAACAGGTTAATTCATCCCTCAGTTATTGGTTGTTGCGAACATCTATTACAGAATTTTTATCCTCTTGAATATCCGTCTTCAACAGACATTGAAAAATATGTCATGATACCTTTCAGTACAAAGATATGCATCCTCAAATGTGTCCAGGCACTTGGATAGCATGGGAGAAAAAAGGGTAAGTCAAGGTATAAAGTGGCAGTGTAATATTAAAGTTATTATCAAGAAAATATTATTTGTTCTTGGATTTTGGTCAGAATTTAGGATGTGGAGGCCTAAGCATTGATTGCATGGCAGATACTATGTATTAAGGATCCCAGTTATATGCTAATTTGTATTTGCTAGCAAAGTTGATTTTTGTTTGAGATGAAAAAAATCTCATATTTCAGAACTAATGTGTTATGTAGCAATTGTTAAAATTCATTATATATACAGTACAATGTCTGAAATCCTGACCACCAGTGTGTGTTTTAGACTAAGAAAAAAAGGAGAAAGATTTTGATTCTGAGATTAGCATATGCTTTAGCTTGATACATGTGCTGTATCCATTTTCATAATAAAGCATTTGAATGGATTCTTAATTTCACGTTGGCGCTAAATAAAACACCTCCATGTGAAAGAAACAACTGTGTGATCAATAATTTAGCTCCATAGCTGCCTTGTTACATGGCATATATCTCAAACTGAAGTAATCTACCAAACTTCATCGCTGGTTTTACTTACTGAATAGCTTATATCTCTGGTGCTAACCTGGTAAGTCATTTTTTGCTTTCATCACTGCATGGCTGTCAACTCATCGCAGCTTGAGAAATGACTCATGCATCAATGTCTAAGGCTTTTGTAAAAAATATTAATAACTGAATACCAAACAGCTTTTATGTTGACATTAATCATGGGCATGATTACAGACTTCAGCCAACAGCAGGATGGGGAGAAATTTAACAGAAATTTCTTTCTGTATATAAAAAAAGTAGATATTGTGTATGATATTCATAGGTAAAAAAGTTACATTTAATGCTGTTTGATTAAAGAAAGACTGATTTATTGTTCAGATAAGCCCAAAGTGTATATGAGAATTTTATTATTCGGGTCTGAGGTAGGTGTTAAGCATATACATGTTGATAGTACAGTACAGGGTTGGCCAAACTTCATGTCAGTAAGAGCTGCACATTTGAATTCAGGAATGTTCGAGAGCCGCATCGAGATTTTCTGAAAGCCACAAGTTATATTTACATCATTATAGAAGTAGTGGAGGAGGTTCCAAATAGAAAGAAATCCCTGATAACTTTGTAAAAAGAGTCTAAACTAATTAATTACTTCCTTTTGGACACTGAATAGTTTTAGTTTACCATATTTCATGCATATATTTCACCATATTTCATGCATAATGAGCCGCACAAATTGCCTTCGAGAGCCGTACTTTGGCCACCCCTAGTATAAGAGATGTAAACATAATAAATAACTAACAAGCTTAACTTGCATAGTGCATGATAGAAACGAGACAAAACTTAGTGCAACCACATGTCTCTAGTTGCCAATCTCATGATATATCACCAGTGGTGTGTAGCAGATGTTAGCTGAGCTTTATGAAGATAGTTGTGAAATGTGAAGGTTTTTATATATTTTAAACAAAATTTTCCACTCAATGGAATTTGTGAAAAAATGTGAAGAGATGATATTACAAGTTTCCCAAAGTGATAACAATGCCCAAATCAACTAACAGATAGCAAAATGTTTAGTATTCTTCTAAATCTACTGAATCCACCATTACTACACCAGCTGAGATTCAAAAGGCACCATTACTTGATCCTCAGTCTTTGTCACATAATGTTCATGACGGGCAGAAGAGTAAATGTAAAGGCATAAAATATAAATAAAATTAAAAGTAGCTAAAAAATAGTGGGTGTTATAAAAGTTAGGTGACTGGGGAGGTAGTAGACCTAGTTCTGAAATTCAGTGACAAATTGTCTCTACCGTAATTTGGACATCACTTATCGGGTGTTTGGATTTTGGGGGAAGGTAGTTGGAAAATATGAGAAATTTGCGAGCTCCTAATTCCTAACCAAATATATTTCCAGTTACAAAAAAAAGGCACGTAGTCAGGAAGGGGAAAATGCCTTATATCTTTTCCCTCATATAAGGAGTCCAGCTGCCACTCCTGGTGGCAAATTATTACCCACCACATTTTAGGTCAGGTATCACTTGCAGAACTTTTTAATTTTAAGAGCAGAAAATGTAAAAATGCAGTTTCTGGGATTCAAACTCCAAACCTTCGCGTTGCTAGCTGGGCATGCTTCCAATTGCACTGTGAAAGCATTTGGTAAAGAACAACTGGATTTTCTTACAAATGTGAACAGGTTAATTCATCCCTCTGTTATGGGTTGTTGCGAAGTGTGTAACATGGGTGTGGAAATGATTGTTTAAAAAAATTCAGGTGAAATTATTAGCTCAAGATGTTTTTTAATTTTCATTTATTGTAGTACTTTAGGCTGTAACATTAAAAATTTTATGTTTTTGTGCCCAAAATGCTGTAGAAAAGAACAAAACAGTATTCTGTACTGCTTTTATGTCATCTCAGCTAATGTATTAATATTATAGTTTTGTGGTCTCTTTTTCTAATGCTAAGATGCTTGAACTAAGAGTTGAGAAATAGAAATTCTAAAGATAACTGCTCATATTTATTACACTTCTGCATGTGACCCTTTGTAAATAAGAGCATATCTGTTTATTGTTTAATCTCTTGTCTGACTAATGTACTGGAGGTAGTTAAAAAGAGAATTCAGTTGAATTGGGATATTTTAACCTTGAATATCATTAATTTCTGAATTAAAAGTGCAATATGGTTATATTAGGTATAGTTTGCAGCAAAGAATTTGAACTCCCATGCCTAATATTCCATACCAGGGAAAATTGCATCTTGTGTTGGATTTCATGCCATGTGTAATATTGTATTTTATGTGTACTTTCATTTTATTTATTTACATAATGTTTTTGGCTACTAATAATTCTTTAAGTTTTGTTTTGCTAGAACCAAGTTAAGTAATTTTTAGAATGAGCAAAATGTATGTAGTAGACTTAATGAATGTGTGTTGTTTGTGTGAGTGATTTATTTAAAATCTGAACTTATTGTCAAACATTAATGATACTTAGAATATGTTTATTAGACTCTAGAGAGATTATTAGAGTGTGTGATACCCCAGTAGTGTAATAGTTTATTTTGACACGTAAGTGAAGATGTAGTGTTTTTACAACGCATATTTGGTAAACCAAAAATAAGCATGTGCCTTTTCTTTTATGTGCAAGTGTAGAGTGTCTGACAATAAATTAATTCAACAAATAGTTTTTTATTCATTGGGTAGGAATTTTCTTTTCTAGCTCTATTTAGATTTTTAGAGAAGTTTATTGATTTTATATATGTAATGAATGCTTCTATTATCATAACTTCTTGTTTCATTTGTAGGTATAGCTGTTTGTAATGTTCCAGGGTATGGAGTAGAGGAAGTGGCTGATACAACATTGTGCCTCATTCTTAATTTGTATCGGCGCACTTACTGGTTAGCAAATATGGTAAGGGAAGGAAAGAAATTTCAGGGTCCAGAACAAGTTCGTGAGGCTGCTCAGGGATGTGCGAGAATTCGTGGTGATACTCTTGGCATCATTGGACTGGGTAAGATATGGATAATAGTTAGTGAAGTATGTTATATAAAAGGTTAATTTCATGACCTGATTATTTTCTCTGCTGTTTTCAATAGTGACAGATAAACTTTCAACGTTAAAATTATGTTTGTATGAAAAGCCATTTGTTCAAAGTAGTAGAAAGTTATTGAATAAGTAAAAGATATGTTTGCATTTTATTGACTTAGAAATAATTAATTTAGCTTTGTTTGACTGCAAGAGGAAAATTTTGTTATATGTACTGTAACAGTACCTTTTGTCATTGTCTCCATCAGTTTTAGAGAAAGTTAGTGTGCATGTTTAACTTATATAGAAAGAAAAGCAACACATGGTGAATTTAAGAAGCCTGATGTAGAACACTGTCATTTTATGTCCAGTGTGACCATTACATTACAAAAGCAGAAGTGGTGGGTATTTTGAAATACGGACAGGATACAGATAGTCCTCTAATATGTGAACTGTTACCTAAAAATCAATTTTAAAAGAGTGTTTTTGATTTTTTGTTGGCTGTTTTCAATTAGAAATTTTAGGGGAAGAGATGATAGGATAATGTTCATTAAGTTGTATTAAAATAAACAAAGTGTTATATTAACTGAAAAAAATTCTTATAGTCATAAACTTTTCTTTTAAAGGTAAGTGGGAGTTTTTGTATGAATTGCAGAAAACTGACTGGAGTGAATGAATTTGTTTATGGGTTTATTTATTATAAATTTCAATATAAATATTGGAATCAGGAAGATTATTTTTGTCTGTTGAAAAATTTCAAAGATGGCATCTTGTATATGTTACAAGTTTTTTTTTTTTTTTTTTTTAGCAAATCTTTTAAATGTATCTATGCTAACATTATACTCACTGCTGAGCTTTAGAGTAGGATTTAATAAATTTTCCTGTTCATTATAAACTTAATCATAGTACTTTTCTAGGTCGTGTTGGAACTGCAGTAGCTCTTCGTGCCAAGGCATTTGGTTTCAATGTGATATTCTATGATCCATATCTTCCTGATGGCATTGAAAAATCTTTAGGTCTTACAAGGGTTTACACATTACAAGATTTACTTTTTCAGAGTGATTGTGTGTCTCTGCATTGTACCCTAAATGAACATAATCACCATGTATTTAATGATTTTACCATCAAACAAATGCGACCAGGTAAGTTTTTTAAGCTAATATTGTTCATTTTTGCTCTGATATATTGATATATTGTATGAAACATTTTTGTTTTGTAGCTTTGTTAAAGTACAATACCCTGCATGAGGATTCTTTTCTCCTATCATAATGCTTTGTAAAATTGTTACTTTTTATTGCAGCATTAAGGGTTTTCCTTTGTGTGAACACTTAGATTTCAAATTATATTTTGTTAGCACTTATTCTTTAATGTATGATATTGATTATTTCTGAGTTTTCATAAATCACGGGCTGTATGGATGTTTATTCCACTTCTTGCATATAAATATTGCTGCATGTAAATTTCCTGAAGCAAGAGAACCTGTGAACCATTCTGCTAAACAGTATTAATCTTCTTTTCATAACGGCAGTATGTTTGCATCAGTTTGTCAAAGGCCAAACTGTCTAGTTCAGTGACAAACATATCCTAGGCAGATGTTCAGATGCTAGCAACCAAATGTAATTATTTTCAAAATAAGCTTTGAGGAGGGAAAAACTGAATTTTTACAATGTGTGCACCAATCACCACTTCCAGCATGGGAGTGAACAGAGGCGATTACATTTGATAGGGGAGCTAGCAGGAATACTTATACTCTTATTAATAATATTAATACTCATGAAGGAAGGTATGTGCTCTGTCATGCGATCCTCAGGCCTTGAAAGTAGTTAACATACCATCAAAAATGACAACTACCAGCCAAGAATTGATGATAGCTTGGTTATATTTAATTTACTGAAAGAAACACTTCACAGTTCTGAAACTTTCCACAGAAATACTCATACAGCTCCTCACAGTATCATAGAGTACCATCAATTATTACACTTCCAACTACCACAATGCAGTGTGAAGCACGAGGCAAAGCTCTCAAGGGTATCTCAATTCTCTGAATTCAGCTCTGAGTAATAACTAAGGACAGATGCTGTCTCTGGTTTAATTAGCTTTCACCCTTGTATAGCTTGCTGGTAGACGGAATGCTGACTGGATATGGTTAGAAACATATCTAGATTAATTACTTTTACTCAGTGACAATACTAATTAGCTATACATGAACTGAGCCAAATGGTCACTAACTGATCTTGCCAACTTGTGATATCTCGCCAATTTATCAAGATAGTCATTTACTCAATATTAAATTTACTTGCACCTTTATACTTACGTTACCTGCAAAGCATCTCTTTAGATTTTCATATTATGGTGTACAAAGAAATACAATATCACCTATACTTTCATTAAAATTATGTGCATATATACAAAATTTGTAGCACTTTCTTTCCCAAAGACTGCATACATACCACTAAGAAAACTTAAGGGCAACGCTAAAACAATTTCAATAAATAACAAATCAAACACTATCCAAAACCATCTTAGGACTGTCCCAGGGTGACTGCAGCTTAGGTGAAAGTCCCTTCCGTGGAATCAGATTTCATAACCACACCTTGTCACTTTTGTTGAATTGGTGTCTTATAGCTCTTGTGTCATATTCGGCCTTCATATTGTCCGTCGCCAAGCTGGCTTGCTCTCATGCAAAGTTGTGCATCACTTCAAACTGCACTGGGAGATCTTGAATGTACTCCTCAGGCAATGTAGGTGCTTTGAGAGGCAACCAGACAAGAGATTACAAGCCAGACCAAAGGTCACAACTGAAGATGTGGGATAGAGCACAGGCAGTAGTCTCATAGATAGCACTGGAATAGGTTGGTTTTTTTTTTTTTATGTCGAGTAGCTTGCAATGTTTTTTAATTACAGCCAAGGTAAATTTTCTTCCTTGATCAGAATTTAACTGAAATGCTCTTCAAACCCGGAAATCCATTGTTGTACCATTACTTCTGCTGATGTGACAGCCTCTCCATCAGGAATAGGATATGCTTCAAGACAACTGGTGAAGTAATCAATGACAACGAGGATATATTCCTCGAGCTGTCAGGATGTTGAAGGCAATTTGTTCAAAAGTCTTTCCTACATACAAGCATTGCAGCTTCCCTCAGCCATTTCTTCAGTCCTTCCTGATGCACACAATCATCGTAACACTGGCACTGCTTTTGCATCATTACTCTAGTGGAAGGGCTCTCCAACTCTAAACAAAGTCTTGATTATTCAGAAGTAGCCTTCTGTTGGACTACTATGTAATTTTTTATGGTCGTCCGGGACTCAAAAGTATCAGCTGCCATCAAAATGACTTTTCATCACCCTATTCAAACTTCTGGTACAAGATGCCATTATGAATACTGATTGAGTCTCAGAGTCGAGTATTGTTTTGTCTTGGTATATAGATTGACATGTCCTGCTAGGTAGGTTTCCTGTTTGAAAACTCCAAGTCAGTTATCGGTTTAATGTCGCCTGCTGGTCTTTCCTGACTTCATCACTCCATAAGTCTGAATCAGATGATGTTGAATTTGTAATTTAAAGTACAGATGGATTAAGCAGCTTCTAATTTGCTTTGACTGTGGACCAGTATTGGGAGGTTTCTGGGTAGGATCTCTTAGACAGGGTGTTGGCATTTCTGTATGATGATCCCTTCCGATGATGGATAGTGATGCCATATTTGTAGGGCATCTATATCAACGTGGATTCTTGAAATTTAATAGCCAGGTTAACGATGCATGATCGGAAGTTTCTGCCATAGGGTTAATGATGGAAATGATCTGCTGCTTTTAACAATGGCAAGCAGCTCTTTACTGGTGACATAGTAATTCCTCTCGGGTTTAGATGGACACTTATCTAGTTTGTTGTGACATGTTCTTGAATGTTTATTCAGACAACACAACATCAATACTCTCATTGCTCGCATATGTGTCATGGATGAATGGTTTGTCAAGCTGGATATACATCAGGATTGTAGCACATGTTAAAGCTTCCTTCAGTTTGTTAAATGCATCCTATGTCCACAAGAACTTTTACTTTCTCTTTGTTGGCTTGTGGTCTTGCAGTGGAAGGAAAATCCTCCACAAATCTCTTAAAGTGGGTGCAAAGCTCTGAAAAACTTCTTAGCTCATGGACATTTTCAGGGTGTCTCCAATCTTTTAACTACCGAAACTTCTTCTGTATCTGTACACACACCTTTGGCAGAGATGACATGTCTGAGGTAAGTAGCTTCTTGTCTGAATAGTTTACATTTCATGCAACCTGAGATTAGCCTCCTAATATTTTCTAAATGCTCTTTAAAACTCTTCCGGGTGATGATATCATCCAGATATATCATGCAGGCTTTGTAAGAAAGACCTTTTTTCACAGGTTCCACAAGGTGTTCGAATGCTGATGGCCCATTACATAATTCAGACAGCATAACCTTGAACTGTACATAATTCATACAGTATCACCTTGAACTGCCAAAATCCTTGTCCGGTAGTAAATGTCATTTTCTTGGTCATCAGGGTGTACCCCCACCTGCCAATATCCACTCTGTAAATCAAGCATCAAAAACCATTTGCTTCCAGAATGCCATTAGAAAGAGGGTAGCTACTTTCTTCAAAACCTCATTCAACCGGCGATAGTCAGCGCAAAATCTAATTAAACCATCTTTCTTTCTGACCAGGACAATGGGAAAGGTGCAAGGACTTGGTAAAGGCTTGATAACATTGCTTTCTTCCATACTTATGTCAGAATATAAGTGGGAGAAAATAATCTTTAAATTCTTGAATGAGATGTTCAGCAGAAATCTACTCTCTCTGAAAACAGAGATTGACAGATAGTTTGGTCACTGAACACAGGTCACTGGAGAACATGCTGCAAACACTTCGTCGAGTGCTGAGGCTACTAGTACTCCTCATGGGGTGTTATCTTGGGATATTCCATTATATCATACCAGAAATTTCTGTTTTCAGCTTTGGATCCAGAAAGTAAGAGTTTGCTCTTGCTGGTGCTATGATATCATCTTGGGCTATCAGTTAGTGGATAGATTTTTAGGTCCTTCCTAAGTTCTAAGATAGTAATTAATTCTAAATAGGGTTATATCCTCAGAGACAGAATGAAGTTTTTTATTCATAAAGTCCATTGAATTCATTAAAGTCAAAGAAAAGATTACGTTTCTGTAGAAAATCTAATCCCAGTCTGCAGGGGTCTGGAATATTTGCTACATATGCCATGTGATGGTGTAGGTGGCACCTCTACACATGTTAAGGTTTAATTTTCCATAGGTGTCATTTTATCCCCAACACAGTCTGGACTGTAACACAGGTCAGTATCCAGATGAGTTTCCCATCGGATTGTTGAGCCAAATCTTTCTGGATGATAGTAATATTGGCTCCAGTACTGATGGCCATAATGCAATGAACTCCATTTCTTTTTACCATGATGAGAAATCCATTACTCCCACCCATTACCCACAGAGATCTGTAGTACTTTTAAAATGAAGCTTCTCAATATCTGGCAACCTCCACTTTGTGAAATTGTCGCTATTTTGTTTTGTGCATCCTTGCTGACAATCAGTCTTTTTTTTCTGTGCCCTGGGATGTTCTACAGTTCCTTCAATGTGGCCTTTAGCACCGCTTTCTCATCTCCTCTCAGAGAAGCAACAAGATGGCAGGCCTTACCTTTGGAATCCCAAACATTTGTGTTCCACTGTAGAAAACTGAGTCTTATATACCTGCCGGGAGGTCTTTCCATCATAAGTAGACAGCTTTAGAGAGGGTTGAAAAGGCATGTGTAAAAATTTAAAACGCTGAAAATTGCTATGAATTTCTTTAGTAGAAACTCTGTCTTTAATTTGTTGTTTGATGGTAGTAACTTTTTCTCCAACTTTATTTTCAACTGTCTATTCTACTTTCCATAGCCTTGAATTTTTCTATTATGATGGTAATTTCTCTTTTTATTTTTTCGTCAACTGATTTGACGGTACCTTCCATCTTTTCATGAAGAGTTTCCATTTCGTCTATTCTTGGTCAGGTTTCATTTCTTTAATGGTTTCTTATCACCTTTCCTTTGAATGCTGCAAAGGCTTCTGCGAGCTGTCTTAGTTGCTCCTCCATCCCTTATGTCACTGATATTCAATATCGCTTCTGACACAAAAAATTGTTGCATACATGCCAGTTCATAATATATTGAATGCACAGAGAACTGAGGATAAATTGATAAAATTTATTTCACCAAAAGAAACACCTCTCCGTTCTGGAACTTTTCACAAAAATATTCATGCAGCTCTTCACAGTATCATAAAGAACAGTCAGTAATTACACTTCAAACTACTAAGAATATTAAACACAACATAATCCAAAGTGAAGCTTTCATGGATATCTCGTTGATTGCTTCATAGGATGGTGTTGTTTTAGTAGTGGGGTATAATATGAAAAAAAAGTGGAAAAGATGTTTCAGATTTCATGACATTTGCTATCCATTGAATGGAATGAAAGTGGTGAAAGACTTAGTGAAGGCTCACAGCTGTTTCTCATAACCAACGTAAATCTCTCCTCAGGAAACCTTGTTCTATAGTGCAGTCTGTGTAAATACTGGCTGTCATCAAGAAAGTTTTATACAGTTTATTTTACAGGTGGGGACAGCCATACAAACTTAAATGTCAGAGTGTCTGATAGCAGGTCTTAATTCAGAAATCTCAAAACTAATTCCCCTGGAGAGGCTTTGCTGAGTCTGTATGTCTGAAAACAGGATACAGCAGCTGTGATTTTTTTTTATTAATTACAGCAGAAAAGGAAGATGGATTAAAATTAAAAGTATGGTACTTCTTAAAACTTAGTCATGTTCTCATATGTAAACAGCAGCTTTGATGTTTAAAGCTACAAAACTAAAAGCTAATCTAAAGAGGTACAGTATAAAATCAGAAATCCAGACGTCCAGTATCCTGAACACCAGACCACTAATCTGATAAGTAAACAAATATAATTAAAATAAAACATATTTCCCTCCCTACTTATGAAGTCTAGCAAAGAGGAAAAAAAAAAAAAAATACTCAACAACAACAAACACATGTGCAGTAAATGCAGTTTTTCTCCCCACTCAGATTCCTGGCATGTCGCTTTCAAATACCTGCTGATGAGGGAGTCATGCCATGGCCAGTGACAGTGATTTGTTTGATATTATGTTGGGCAGGATCACAGTTTTGGTCCTTGAATGGTCTGACTTAACAATAAGAGAAAATCCAATGTTGCCATATTTATGTCATCTTACTAAATTTAAATTAACAATCTAAAATCTGGAAATTTCAGGAATTACAAAAGACCCAAATGTTCCAGATCTTATTTACCTTCTTGATTTCAAAATGTCTTTGCCACTTTGTACTTGAACTCATTTTCTGAGATCTTTAATGGTTTAGACCAGCGACCATCAACCCTTAGAACTTCAGGGACCACTAATATAAAACAATATTCAACTTTCCAATACACATTCTAATTTTTATTTGTTAATATAATTTTCAAAACATTTGGTGTTCAGCAGTATGCCTTTATGGAAATTCAGGCTGCAACCATTATTATGAGTAACAAATAAAATACAATTAACATCTCACTGATACACCTATTTCATTCACATTGAAAACTTATATGAAAAGTACAAAAATCATACCTTCCTGTACAGAAAGCAATATCAAGTATCTGTACATAAGCAATATCAATAAACTGAAAGTGTTAATGCCAATTCTTAACTGTTGTAAACATAATAATCATCGCTTACTCAGCAATGGAGCCATCAATTCAACAGTTGGACAAAGCAAAAACGGAAACTTCCAGTGATACAATTATGAACAAGAATGCAGATGGTTCTCATAAAAATCCATCAAGTTGCCTATTGACACGGAGAAAAACTGTGTTATTAATGACTACAATAGCATATGTTTGTAATTCAAAAGGAAAGAGAATTCCATTTCTGCTATTATTGAACTGCAACATATCCATGGATGCCAACTCTCACTTTCAAATGTCGCTTGATACACCTGCAAAAGTAGCTAAAAAGTCACTAAATTCAGAAGGAATTTCGCTAAACGTAGTAGCTAAACTTAAGTATAATCTATATTCCATAATAGGTTTTGTTACTCATCACTTTTTAAACTGAATCTTCACAAAAATATAAATAATGTCCCAATTTTTCTGCAGACTATCAAAACGTTTTCACGGACCACTGGTTTAGACAGATTTTAAAAGCCACATGTCTATTTTTTATTATTAGGAAAAGTATTGCTGAACACAGCAAGCCAAATGATATTTCCAGTGCAGCCTGCACATTAATTGTGTTTGTAATGGATTTGGATGGCTCATATCAAGTTCTATCTATTCTTTATTATACTTATTTGTAGTTATAAAAATTCTATAGAAAATATATGGAGTATTCTAGTCTTCAATTGGGGGGACAAGCATTTTACAAATTATTTGCAAACTGTGCTCTTGGAAGAATGTGAAGCTACTTCACCTGAAGATATTAAGAACTTCGGAAGAACAGTGCAAAAGTGCATGAAAACTGATGAAAGTCAAAGGAAACCACATAAATACGAATATCATTAAACTGGCTGACTAAAAGTGTAACAGTGTGAATACTGTCACACTTAGTAAATGTTGGTTATTTTATTGCTACATAGCTTGCTTCAACATTTTGGTTGAAATTTATGAATTCATGGCAGTTATAATAGTATTGGTGTCATTTCTAATAGTTACTATTTAGTAGCTGATTTGTGTAATACACTGCAGATGCTCAAAACTCCTGGCATTTTCTGTGCATTCTTTCTGGAAAAACACTTTTTTTTTAGCGGACTATTTGCAATATATTGCACTTCCCAGATTGTTCAAATCCGAGTTTTTATAGATTACCCAGAGGGAGCTGTTTTGATGATATGAGTACCAGAGGGAGCTGTTTTGATGATATGAGTACTGAGGCCGTAATTCTACTGGATGTGATATTTCAACTCTAGAATGTGTGGTGAAGGATTGTTTTAGAAGAAATAATACTATAAATTATTTCTAGGTACAAATTAACAGCAATGAAAACATATTGCAGTTTATACATTATTTATTCAAATCAGGTAATAGTTTGAGTGTCAAGTGAGTTTTCCCAATAATTAATAGACATAAAACTCAACAAATATGGTAAGTTTTTTCCCTTAATTATTACTAAATCATTGTTATTGTGCACTGATAACTTCAAAGAACCAAAAAGAAAGAAACAAGTTTTTAAAAAGTGAAATTATATTTTCATAAATTAATTTGAAATTAAAAACTGTTTATATAAATTGCTTAGTATTCGGCAAAAATGATAATTAATATGGAAAAGTATAATGAAATGTTTAACAAATTAAATATATGTGAATATGATTTATAGATGCTCAAGACATGTATTATAACATTCATACACCCTTTAAGTAATTTTCACAACATGGCGTTTCAGGTGAGATTTAATCAGTTATTTTTTAACCTAGAGAAAGAGGGAAAAAAAAATAAGAGACAAAAAATATGGAAATCTAAATCTTCATCTTTTTTCCCATTTAGAGCTAGCTGCTATCCGCAAAGATCCTCCAAGTAGTTTTTTTTCTTAGATAAATGTTACAATATTGTTCAGATTTTTAATCAACATTCGTAATGAAAATGCAGTGTGATGCCAATAATCTAAATTATTTTAATTACTCCAGGTTGAATAAAAAAGAACTTTAGGGTTAACTATTGTTGCAGCAAATCATGGAAGTTAAGTAATGTGGCCACATGCAGTGACATGTAATAATCTGTGATAATCTAGTATAGTAGGCTAGGTAGAATAATAACTTTTAAAATAATTTTGCTAGCTTATTTATTTGCAAATGTTAGTTCCTGGTAATAGCTTAAGTGCACTTTTCCTGGCTGGTAGTGTAAAACAGTTTCTATAGTTTTGATAAACATTTGATGTATGTAGTATTAACTTCAGCATAAGTAGATTGTTGGCAGGGCTTGATACTCAGTAATCAGTTTTTGATTTTTAAGTAAAATTAAAGAACATTCTGTTTGGCTTAATTTTTCAGAGTGTAATGCAGATCTGTAAAATATCTTATTTCTAGGAGCATTTCTAGTTAATACTGCTCGTGGTGGTCTAGTTGATGAAAATGCCCTGGCTTCTGCTTTGAAAGATGGTCGAATCAGAGCAGCTGCCTTAGACGTCCATGAGAATGAGCCATATAACGCCTTAGCAGGTGAGTAGCATTTTAACAATCAGTATATATTTTTTTTCTATACTGGTTTCTTTGCATTGTTTTTCACACTTCCTTCTAGTAACTTCTATCAGAAAGTATCTTCTCTGCAATTCAGTATTAAATATCATGAATGTGTGTAAAAGATTTTTCCGTTTATTTTTAAAATCTGGTAAGATTAATGATAAATTAGGAGTGAATATATGCAGACAAGAATAAAATGCACGATAGATTTTATTGCAATTAATTTAATGCTTGAAGTATGTATATTCGCTTTGAGTGTGTGTAATAAATTAAGTGTTGGGATGTCTGATAATTTTAAAGGGAAGCCATTTAAAGAAATTCACTAGATGGTTTTTTTAGTTTGAAGGAATTCACTAGTAGTTTCTGTGCTAAGTTATGAACTGAGCATATTTTACGTTTTTCATTGCTAAGACAGTTTGCAATCAAATGGAAGATAAATATGGATTATAATAGTGATGAGTAAGCAAGTAAAATATTTTCCTCTGCCAAGTTAATGAGTTCCTTGCTCGGTAGAAGTTCATCGTAAGCCTATTTATCTAGATTTATGTATGTACTTATTGTGCCTTTAAATGTTTTTGTTCTTGTGTTTCTGTCTTATTTGAGACAGCTGCTGACAAATGATGTATTTCGATACTTATAATTTTGTCCCAAAATTAGTTCAAGACTAAATATGTGACGTAATTACTTATTGATCTTGGCGTCTATATAATGAAATACATGCAGTTTTCTAAAAATGACTTTTTAACAATAAAATCATCTTGCATTTCAAATTCAATTCTATTATTAAATACTGTGTAGGTTATTCTATATGTGTGAGTGAGATGTAGAATTTCAATAGCTTAATTATATGAAACTAAAATGTAACATAAACCTGTAATAATCACACTAATAAAATGCGTTTAATTTTGTTTGATTTGCTTGCATTGTAAAATTAATTCTCTGGGAAGGAGGAAAGTTTTTTTATTCCATAAAAATCTTGAAAATGTATGGAATATTAAAACTTATTTTTCGGCATTGTGTAATTAAAATTTTCTTAAAAGGTTTCCCATTTATGTAGATTGCCATTAAATCTGAAATATGTTGTATTATGTGTTTGAATGCTGTTCATCATTCAGCCTGAGCTCTATTTATAGCGATAGTCTACATAATGATTTAACCCTTTCTTTACATCATTGAGAATTTCACTGTGGTTCCCCCCCCCTTTTTTAAATCCATCTGAAATTCCCTGCCTTTCCCAGGTGTGTTTTAAGAAAATTCCAGTCTATCCGTGTAATGCACATTGGCTGTGTTAAGAGATAAACTAATTATGGTACCACTTGAAAACACAAAAATTTGCCAATTACATATGACTTATAATATATAATCCCCCAAAGCATTACTACAGTCAAAAGTCGTTAATTCGGACACCCACAATCCAGAATGATCTATAATCCGGACCTCAAAGCTACGCTTATGCATGCTCGTTTAATGTATAACGGACGGTATAAGCTAAGCTAAAATTATCTAATTCAGTTAATGTTGCAGATTGCGTTGTTCCTTAATCTTCGAACTGGATCCGGCTTATTATTTTTTGCAGATTGTTAGAGCAATTTTATAAAAGTAAGCTTGAACTTTCGATTATGTCAAATAGAATTTCCGATATATATTTACTAATATGTAAAGGATCGACAAAGCGAAAGTATGTTTTGAAGTCCATTAAACAGAAAGTGGAATTGCTGCAAAAAATGGATAAAGGCATATCCTTTGATTATCTAATCATTCCGAAATATGTTGATCAATTTCACGCTGCTCTGCGGGGAGAGGGAAACGATGCGGCGCACAATGAATTGGAAGTGGATCTGTCAGCACTGTCCTTATCTTCAGGGCAGATGTTTTTATTTTATTTGGCTTATAATTCCTTACTAAATGTAGTATTTCATCCCGATGTACTCCGTCTTTGATATGATTTAAATCAAGTTCCTCGTCAGTATAATTCGCTTCCGATAGTGAAGAAAGTGACAGACAGGTCATTGAAAACGAAAAAATTTCAATCGACAAATTAGTCAGTATTCTCGATACATCAATTATAGGACTTGAACAGCGGAACTTTGTAACTAAACAAGAAATTATGTCTGTTTAATAGAATTAAAGAGAAAGTATTATGACATGAAAGGAAACAACTTAAACAACTTACATTGAAAGAAATGTTTAATAAAGTTAAATAAATAAATATTAAGCTTTTTCTTTGTGTAAATTTTGATACCCTTTAGATCATAATTGTTCTTTATTTCATAAATTACGGTTTCATATTTTTAATTTTATAATTTCTGCATGCCATCTTATCTAATTTAAACTGACGATCGATAATTCGAAGTCCCGACGAGTCCGGATTAACGACTTTTGACTGTATTATAACTATAATAAGAGTATTTTTCTGCACTGAAAATTGAGATTAGAATCTGTGCAATCTGGATTTAAAAATGTCTTTTTTTTTGGCTTACACTTTGCAGCTAAATAAAAGAAGAATCTATTTAATGATGTTTTTAAATAAATTCAAGTATTTTATATTTATTTAGTAGTATACATAAGCAAAAAATATGTACATTAAATTTCGTGATGGTATGTCATCATACTGCTAGAATTAATTTCAGGATTATGCCAGAGAAAATTTCCTGAAATTTGAAAGTATTATTTACTAATAAATAACGTAGAGAGACGCAGCAACATTAAAATTACGATAATTATTTAAAAATGGAATTAGAATAATCAACAATATTTTGGTGAATATAGTTACATTAAACTGTTAGCCTAGGTGACTGATTACTAAGGCATTTATTTTGAAAAGATTGAAAAGATTTTGCAGTAAAATCCTAGTAATACGCTACGGCCTTGGCACAATTTTGAAAATTGTAGCCAACACCAAAATGACCCATTTACTGCTCATCATAATATCCCCAAATTCCATGTATACCATACATGGAGGCTATTCTAACTTCCAGGATACCCTATACTAGGATTAAACCAATTTTATATGAGAGTACGTATTTTCCTTAGTTCAACATGCACTGCACATGTACACGGGAGTCTCTCGATACTCAAGGTTATTGGAAACTTGCTTTACCTTTCTAAAACACAATCTGATTGGAGCTGCAAAAATTGGCTCTAGCCAGCTGGCCGAATGATGCTTACGTGATACATAATTCTCCAAGAATGTGATCACTTCAACGTCAACGAAAAAAATCGCTTTTCGGGGGATATATATGGAATTCCCTGACTTTTCCAGATTTTGACTAAAATATTTAATTCCCTGAATTTTTTGGTCAATTTTCGAATTCCCTGATTTTTTCCGTTTTTCCAGGTAGCGTGGCAACCTTGGTTAGAGTGTTATTGACATGCATAATGTGCTTTTTCTTTAAAAAAAATAAATAATGGAAAAAAACAGGGGCATCCAAACTAGAGATATAGAATTGTAGAATGAAAAAAGGGCCAAATTGAACATGATTGTGAAATAACAGAAAAAGTTTTAAAAAGTAAGTGCCTTTGTAACAATTGATGAAAATTAAAACCATTCAGGGGACGATGTTCATTTAGGCAATACATGGTTAAAAAAAAACCTGTCAAATATGGCATGCACTGGTTGATTCCAGGGTTTTATACATGGAAAATGGAAATCTACACCTCCCAACAGTTACAGAGACCATTTCAGTTTGATAACAATGCAAGCACTATTGTAAATGTTTGGAACCATTATACAATTCTTTATGGAATTAGACTGTAGATAATTGGTATATGTGATACCAGCTATCTCCGTACTTACTAAGGAAGAAAATAACTATAGTCGGAATGATGAGAAAGAATAAGAGAAATTCCACCGGATTTTCGAACGAAGAAATGAGAAACATATTCTCCAATTTTTGGTTTCCAGAAAGAAACAGATTGTTTCTTATGCACCAAGAAAACAAAAGTGTTGTCCTTGTATCAAAAATGCACAACAATAATAAAATTGACAAAACCACTGAAGTACTAAAAAAGCGAGAGAGTATTTCACTTTATAATCTAAAGCTAAAGGAGCAGTGGATGTCGTAGATGAAATGGAAGCAGCATATTCTACAGCTAGAGTGTTGAAACGGTGGCCAATGGTGATTTTTTTCCTCGATTTTAAATGTTGCCACAATTAATGCATGAATAATCTTACTCAGTTTAGAAACAGGCTTTCTTTTCTCAAATCATTAGAACTGAAGTTAGTGGAAGATTACTCAAATCAATGGCAGCAGCAAATCATGCTCCCTTTGAAACTAGAAGAAGAAATAATTTCAGGAGATTGGAACATGAAACTACCATCTAAAGAAATGAAAAACATTTACAGAAGATTCACTGAGTGACCTAAAAACAAGGACAGAAAGACATGGTTTCTATGCGAGAAATGTAATACAGTAAAAGTCCACAAATCCGCAAAGCTTGGGACCAGAGGTTGTGCGTATTTCAGGATAGAAAAGATAAATTATAATATTCAGACTAAAAGTGCAAAATAAATAAGGCGTATTAGATACATTTAATTAAATTATTATTACATATATAAATTGATTATATTATTCATTGTACTATATATACACAGCATCAAAGTTTGCTAATTAAACCTCATGCTAAGATTTCTGATGTTAGAATGACTGATGCTGTAAAATTTCAGCAGCATTTCTTTCTTTTCTCCTTATATCATACACAATCGTCTTACGATTCCGTACGATTCTGCTATAAACCGAGGAGTAGCACCGGTCTCCATCCTTTGCACTTTTTGTGTTACCGTCAATGCAACGTGTTTACATTTTTCAACGTTGCAAGCAGTAAAATCATGAATTCGTTTCTTATCTGTAATTGTACTTAAAAAGCGCTGAAATTTAAAATATTCTTAATTTATCCACAAAATATCCGGATAAAAAAAAGGCAGCACTAAGTAATCTCATGAAATAACAAAGCTTAGAAAATACGTGAATCGTGAACTT